GCGTTCCAGAGACGGAGGGTCCCCCTGCGTTCCAGACACGGAGGATCCCCCTGCGTTCCAGAGACGGAGGGTCCCCCTGCGTTCCAGACACGGAGGATCCCCCTGCGTTCCAGAGACGGAGGGTCCCCCTGCGTTCCAGACACGGAGGATCCCCCTGCGTTCCAGAGACGGAGGGTCCCCCTGCGTTCCAGACACGGAGGATCCCCCTGCGTTCCAAGGATGGAGGATCCCCCTGCGTCCCAGTGATGGAGGGCTGAACGAGAGGCGTTTCTTTGAATGGAGTGACGTGCGTCCTGCTGGGAGGGAGGAGCCTGTTGTCCTGGAGGGGAAATCTTCCTCTGCAGAACCTTTGTAGGGGTCACGGAGCTCCGAGAGACCTTCCCTGTAATCTCCGGCACACACAAAGCTGGTCTGTTTGATTAGGAAACCCAGAATGTTCTTCTAACCCCCTATTAACCCTTTCCCTGCCGAGGACCTTCTGTGGAGAGACTTCTAAGGGTTCTGTGTTAATTCAGCAGGAGGGAGATCACTTCTACATGTGTTACACTCCCTCATACCTTCCAGGCCCTAGATGTGGCGGCAGCCCCCCTCCCCCATACCTTCCAGGCCCTAGATGTGGCGGCAGCCCCCCTCCCTCATACCTTCCAGGCCCTAGATGTGGCGGCAGCCCCCCTCCCTCATACCTTCCAGGCCCTAGATGTGGCGGCAGCCCCCCTCCCCCATACCTTCCAGGCCCTAGATGTGGCGGCAGCCCCCCTCCCTCATACCTTCCAGGCCCTAGATGTGGCGGCAGCCCCCCTCCCTCATACCTTCCAGGCCCTAGATGTGGCGGCAGCCCCCCTCCCCCATACCTTCCAGGCCCTAGATGTGGCGGCAGCCCCCCTCCCTCATACCTTCCAGGCCCTAGATGTGGCGGCAGCCCCCCTCCCTCATACCTTCCAGGCCCTAGATGTGGCGGCAGCCCCCCTCCCCCATACCTTCCAGGCCCTAGATGTGGCGGCAGCCCCCCTCCCCCATACCTTCCAGGCCCTAGATGTGGCGGCAGCCCCCCTCCCCCATACCTTCCAGGCCCTAGATGTGGCGGCAGCCCCCCTCCC